GGCTTTTTTCCCTTGTCCCATGTGGAGCAGTATTTAGTTCACTGCCACTCAGCAGACAGAATTCACACAAATGGATGGTGATACCAGATTAGGGTGCTGATTTTCTTCATTATGTTAACTGTGCTTGATTTTCCCTTCAGATTTCCCTTTGCCATGACCTGCAGAAAAGTCTCTGAGCCCAAAAGCTTATTTGGTTTTTCTTTCTGTATTGGCTGGTTTAATAAAAGATGTTAAGTCTTCTTGCAAATCTAGCTTCCCATTTCTTACACCATCATGGCTCAACAGAATGTTAATACTATATATGTATTTTTTAATTTAGGTAAGTAATCTCTACTTTTGAGTTTATTAATATTTCAGCTTTTGCTCCTTATGTAATAAAGGATATTTTTAGTGTTTTTTTTTCTTCTTGCTTTTTTTGAGTCATTGGTCTGTGATCAAGGAATTAAAATAGTGTTGTTCTTCCAATTGATTTCCTTTCTGTGATTGCTGCTTTAGACTTGGTCTCTGTCCTTGTGTTGTAAGAGGGTTAGAGCAATAGTAGAGTGAGGTTTGGCAGGCTTACTTTTTTATCTTCTAGGCATTTCCTGTCTTTTTTTTTTTTCTTTTTTTTTTTTTTTCCCCCCCCTGTTTACACTATGTACACTATCCATGGGAAAAGATTTTTCCAATAAAGTTGGTGTATCATCTGCACTTTTACATGGGTCCTCTTGGTTTGAAGAGGTGTATTGTGCTATAGGTACTGTGGAGAACCTTTTCATTAATTTATTCACTCATTCTCCAGATTAATGAAACAAAAATACTCCCCTTATTTTCCCACCTGATATTGAAATGCAGCATAATTAGGAAAAAGCCTGACTGGAAAGCAAACATTTTGATTCTTGTTGATCATTCCTAGGAGTTTAAAATACTTGGAGTGTTTACCTTGTGTGAATCTCTTATTGAGTGGCATCAGGCAGTCTACTATCTGTTTAATTTAAATAGGTAGAAATTAGGCAAACTGTTACTGTTTCCACTCTGTAGGCCTCAGGGATTCATGGGTAAAGATGTGTCTCTCCAGATAATAGGAAAAGTTTGACCTGGATCTTAGGTAATAGAGTGTGAACAATTGCTTTCTGAGTTTGGTAGGCAATTAAAAAACTCAAACACCCCAAAAAATCCAACTGGTAGTTAACACAAAATGAAAATATTTCAAATTCTTTTTCAAGACCACAAAACACCACAAGACATTACCTTTTTTACGTAAAAATCCAAAGCTTTGAATTCAAACTGTTTTCTTCTCTAGTGTTTCTTTAAATAAAACATTTCAAAACAAACTGTACTGCACTTAAGAAAATATCATATGACTTCTCTAGTGGGCTATATATTTATTAGATGGAGAACACTTCTTTCAGTATTGATGTTATCAAAATATGTTGTCAAGAAGGTATCAGGCAGAAATATGTCAGAAAAAGAGGATTTCAGAGTTACTGAAACAGTCATCTTTTCCCTCTTCATAATTTAGCTCAGTCTCCCGAAGTGACCTTCTAGTTAGCCCACAGGTGGGAGCACCAAAGGATATTGAAATTCAACTTGAGAATTCATAAAAAAATACAAAAGTAAAAGTTTTGAATGAAAAAAAGTTTTAATTTCATCTGCTAGGAATTCATTTTTGCAAGTTGTCCAAAAACCATTCTCTGTAAAGAACCAGTCCTTCATACTGGGTTTCATCACTACTGGATCTTATCAGCTTTCTTTGCTCTAGTGCAAGGAGATACTTCATAATCTACAATATATACACTTACAGTATTTCCCTGTGGAATATGGATCACAGGCATTAATTTGGATCAGCAGATAAGGCAATATCTCTAGAATCATTTATAATAGATATTCTCAAAAGAAATGTTTCCTAAGGCGTAAAACAAATACATGAAGAAAATGAAAGTGATATTGACATAAACAATAGTATCTTACATTTGTGTTACAATAGTAACCTAAGGCAAAAGCCTAGACATTTACAGAAATAGTTTGATTTCTACCTCTTTTCTCAGAGAAAAAAGCTGCAGACCTAGCCCATCTGCTGTCTATGAAATGTAACCTACTATAAAGCATTAATCACCCTAATTCTGGGAATGGCTTGCTGATATTCTCATCCAAGTCTCTTCACAATTAAGATACGATCACAAATAGGGTTTCTTTTCTTGTACTGTCCTCTCATATTTCTTGAGAATTACTTTTCTCCTTTAAACACAAGCCAAATTCAATTCAAATGTAGTCAGAAACAACATTACAAAACTGATGATTTGGTATTCCATGTTTATTACTGCTCAGAGACTTCTGTATCAGATATACTCAGTGTACAAATCAAAGGATGTTGTTTGCTTTTCCTGGCTGCTATCTTTGAAAACTCATCCTGGGATCTTCTAATTAAGCTTTTCTGTGTCTGTGACCTACGTTATCATCATCAGAGGTGCTGTTCGGTGTTCCAATTTTTTTTTTTATTTTATTTTTTTTATAAAGAGATGCAAGAAAGCTAAGATGCAACATGTTCACATGCCCTTTTTAAATGAACACTTTTATTAAGTGAAGTCTGGAAATATGCTATTGCTATGGTCATATGGATGTATAATTGCCCAAAGTGCAAATTTTACGCCTTTTTTTGAAGTATGCGGTTCTTGACATTATTGGAGAGAGAACAGCAGATAAGATGCTCTATGTTTTCAACTTTTCCTTTGTTTCTAAGCTAACCATGTACCCTCCAACCTGCAAAAAGAACCAGAAAGGAACTTATATTTTTAAAGACCAATCAATTTAAATCATGCATCTAAATGTGTACAGCAGTCAAAATCAAGCAAGAGTAGTTGAAAAAGGTTGTGGTCTTGCAGGGGCATTTTCCTTTTTTTTTGAGCAGCCCTTGCCACCCCTCTTATTCTCCCTTCTGCACCATTTCCTCAGTGTGAGCGTAGCACAGCATCAAGCTGTTAACTGAATCAGGGAAGGGGTGCAAACTTTAAAAAGAAACAATCTGAGAAGGATAGTAGATGGTGAGAAAAAATAAAAGGCAGGATAGGGGCTGCTTAAGCAAGCAAAACTGCCAGAAAAGATGCTAATTAAAACATGATTTGACTGATTGACAGTTGATTAGGCATTTCCAAGGTTGTGAGTTTTTACATATATATCTATTTCCCTTTGTTATTCTATCTGTAACTGAGCAAATCACTTTTGAGCTCCTCATTTCCATAGGTTATTAATTTCATTATTAATTTCTCTTAGGTTATTACATTGTTTAATGTTATGCAGTATTCTTAGTTGGAGAAGTTTTAGAGTGACAGCTGTGTTTTGGATTCTGTGTTAATGAATGAAATTATTAAGCTTTTTAAATGGATCTTGTTAAAATGTTATGAGCAACAAGTTGTACAAAAAAGGAGACCTTTAATGTCAACATAATGTTTTAAAGTTGGAATCTAGTAATGGCTTTGTTTGACTATTAAGGTTGTAGTGCCCACACTCTGACAAATCTCTTTGGGCTTCACTAAGGAGCAAGTGTATTATTAATAATTCAATTTAAAAAAACTCCAAAACCCCCAGATTTTTGTCTTTTCGAACTGCATTACATAAGACAGACTGGAGGGGGAAGTACTAAGAAATAGTGCAAGAGAATGAAGGAAAACCACTAAACAGAAATGAAATCATAGGAGAAAAAGTGGTAGAAGAGAGAGAATGGGATAATAACAAGGGTATAAACAACACTAAAATATGTGTGAAGGAAACTTTGCAATTAAAAGAGCATGTAATAATTGCAAATAAAACCTAAAAATGTACAATATTGTAGATACTGAGACAAATGCTTCTGAATTCTCTTTCTTGTCCTCCCAAATGTAATCAGCAGACTGTCTTGACATTTAAGTGCAGACATGGCCAACCTAATGATGCTGTGAAGAGTTAGAAAACTATTTTCTTGAGGGAAATTCAAACTACTTGGTATTGTGTAGATTGATGTTTGTATGTGTTTCATTCATGACACTGGAGAGCTAGGTGTAGATCTCCAGGAAGCATCACCCAAAAAAAGAACAGTTTTTGTTGCAAGGTGTGCTTTTCATTAATGACAGGTCATCTGAAATCTCTGTAATTTCTAGTTTTTAGGTAATAGTTTGCTTTCCTGTTCCATATTAGGAAAATTATTAACAAAATGGGAATTCTAGCCTAACTTGTCATGGACAAACCTTTCATAAGATCCTTATTCTGCCTGCTTTATTCTAAGACACAAGATTTGGAAAAACTCTAAGAATTACCTCTGATGAGAACTGAGAAAGAGGAAGTACTTATCAATATGGTGAGATCTCTTGGGCTAAAATGGGTAGCAATCCTTTTGTTTTACCAACAAAGACTATAGCAGTTATGAGATCTTCCTCAATCTTTCTTTAATTCTGAAGTCGATGATAAAATGTAATCTTTGAAAAGAATGGGAAACTCATACTGACTCTACACCTAAAGCCAGATTTAGATTTAGAATTACATTAGGGACTAGAAATAAGTGTCAGTCTTTATCAGTAGTATCATCATCCCTGTTTCTATTTACAAAGATATGCTGGAGCAGTTTGGTCATGAACCCTCTATGATTGTCAAATTTGACCCTAAATTGCTGCCTGAACAGTGTGTATCAGCATTATCTGTGCAAATACATATTAAGTTTTGAATATTCTTAGCATTTGATTTAGTAATGCTCCCTCAGGAGTTTTTCCTTTATGCCAATAAGCCAGACTTATTTAGAGCTGTTGGTTCTGATCCACCATTTCCTTTTTAAATGTTTAGAATTTGTAAGTGTTGTGACCCTTTTGCCAATGCAAGTAATCCTAATTCCATCAATTTACACTTGTCACTTTGCTTTAAACTCCATTACTGCACACTGAAATTCTACACAAAATGGCTTGGAGACCATTTAATAAATAACAAACTGGAGATAGAGGGATTTTGTCCTTATGTCACAATTAGTTATTTATTGAGGTTTTGGTTTTGTGTTGCAGAACTGTGACCTGGCCCAGCAGAGTATCGTTCATATTGTTCAGTGCCCACATAAGAACAGTCAGAACAAGGATGAGACAGTAGATAACCATGCTGGAGGTATTCTAAATGCCTTGGAAAGAGCACCTGAAAGTCTGACTCGTGTAGATCTCAGCAGCAGCATCCTCCCATCACTCTCTGCGGGGTTGGCTGTTATTCTGGATACTACAAAACCCAGCATTTATCTTCCCTCTGAAAAATCAGGTAAATCACTGATTTAGCGCATTTCAATACACAGACCTGAATATTTGCTTGTTTCTTTCTTAGGGTGAACAGTTCTATACCACAGGGAAAAAAAACGAAACAAAGCAAAACCCCAACATATGGTTTCTTTCCATTATTAAACAAAAAATACAACTATATTAAGAAGTGATAAAGATCTGATTTGTCTTTAACAAAATAATTTTGCTTTGTGAATAAATGGAGTGATTTATTTCATTGCTCCTGTCCCTAACCTGTATTATGCTAATATTTTTATGAATTATTATAAGCTGGCCAAACCCCAGAGGTCTGTGAGAAGGCAAAAAATAGTCTGTGTAAAATTTCCATTACAGAAGTTTCCTTAACTAGAATGTTGGGCAGCTTGTGTGTGAATGCAAATGTGTTTCATTCCCAGTCTGTTGTAATGTTTCCATACTCACACATTTTGTAAAAAATATTTCTATACAATAGACTTATTATTTATAAAAACATAGCTGGCACAAAATATGATGATGATTCATACTATAGTTCTTCATGCACCACTTATTACTGAGAATATCTTCTCTTCATCATGAAAAATCATTTGAGGCACAAGTTAAGTTACTGCAAATGGGTTGTGCTGTAATATTTAAAATTGTGAGTGAGAAGCTTAAGTCAGAAGGAAAGATAAGAATCTTTTAGCTATTACATGAATCTTCTGAGTGACCCCCTCCTCACACACAGTCTAGCTAATCCGTACTGACAGCTGTGTCCCCAGTGAAGAGACATCATTCTGTGCAGCACCGGACTCTCGTGATTTGTCGTAATAGTCTATCATCAGAGATGTCTTTTTAGAAAGAACAGTTCACAAATACCTTTTATACACGATATGGAAGATAATACCAAATTTATAGGTCCAGACTACAGAAGATAATTTGTGAATATGACAGCAGTACCACTGTGACTAACCTGACGACAGAGATCATCATGCTAAACTAAATGGCTACTAAAGCTGTTAAAATAACTTCTAGAGAATTTCTTAACTAATTCATGCAGAAAATATACAATTTGTGGGAGGGTCACAAAGTATTCTACAACTGACTTGATCAACCTCTCACTGCCAACTAATGATGAATGAGCGCGGTTTAGGAACAAATTAGTACCCAGCTTAGTGATCCACATCTCCCAGTTTGAATGAATAATGAGATGAGGGGCACATACCGATTTAAATCTGGTAAACTAGGAAGAGGATTTCAGGTTGGGCTTACTGTCAAAAGCAAGGCAATGGTGTGAGCTTGCTACTCCTTATTTGCTTTTTCACTACTGTACATGGTATGTACAGGGCTGTCACACTTGTCCTGGACTTTACAGAATAGTTCATGTGGGCATAAGGCCTTTAAAAATTTTTCATCTGGCGTGTTTTTCCATCAACTGCAAACTCTGTGAAGCCAAGTACAAACTGATAGATGTCTTCTATTGCAGCAGATCTTTTCATGGTGGAATGAGAGCTGAGGGAAAAATGTATTGAGAATATATGTGAAATAGTTTTATCAGTAATTAAGTTAAACAGATTTTTTTATCTTAAGAAAAAAAAAAAGTCACTGTAATGACTGACAGTTCTGCCTGGAAGGATGTTAGTAACAAGTACTTTCTAAAAGCTTGTTATCTTCTCCTTGGCTCTCACTATGAAAACTTGTTCTTGTGTCTGTTCAGCCCCACCACTTTTATTCAATATGAGGGATTTTGATGTTTTTGTTATTAGGGTTTGGGAAAGGTTAATTTGTAGTCACATATCACATAATTCACTGAGTTAAGGAGTAGTCTGAGTTAAAAATAATCCAGCAAATAAAGGAAAAAAAAAAAAAAAAGATTAATTCAGAGATCAATTTTCCAATCAACTCTACTGTGTAGCGAGGATTTTCTTTGGCACATCTGAAATGAGTAATAGTAGTGGGAACGAGTGGCTGAAGGCTGCATACGCCACCACTGCTGCTTGAAATTATACTTATCAAGCTACTGTCTTAGAAGGTGCATGGTTGCTGCAGTGATCAGTCTACAGTAGAAACCTATACAGTAGAACTGAAGTATAACCTTCTTTTCTGTGTGTAAGAGATCACATGCAATAAATAGACAACAAATTTAATCTTACAATTTAGAGGCAGGGGATTTATTAATTGATCATTGTTTAGTGTAACATAGTAAATTACTACTATTCTATAATTGTAGTGTAAACACTGGAACTTCATCTCTTTCTGAAGTCTGAGGTACTTCTGTTTGTTACCACACAATGCTGACCCTATGTCCCTGCCCTGCTTTTGTTTTATTTGCCCTCTGAATTCTGAAGAAAAAGGTTTGTGGCAACTTTTCCATCAAAAAAGCTTCTCCTGGAAGCTTTTGCAGCATGTGGCTACAAAAGAAGTGTTTTTGAAGTATTGACTTTAATGCTTGGAGGTCAAACTGTAGATTTTTACCAGAGAATCCAGGATAGAGACAACTCTTGTTATATCGTACTGCTATTATATAAGTAGTATACTTAAGTAGTATTAACTACTGGACTTGATCAGACAAAAACCCTTATAGCCTGGCATCCTGTCTCCACTAAAAGGCATTATTTACTCCTTGCAGAAGAGCATAACAGGACATTCTCCTCCCAGCTCACCCCCACTTTAGTGGTGAGTAATGAAAGCAACTCTTGACTGGTCTGGAGAACAATCTTGCTTACAGCCACAATTTAGGGTTTGGGTGGTCAGAGTGGTGTATACTTCTGAGAGAAACTCTGATGAATTTAAAAAAAAAAAAATCAATCTAACTGGGGATACTGCCGATACTATACAAATACTTTTTAAATAGCATTCTGTTGATTGTGTGTTAAAATTCCTGGGGTCTGTAATTAATATTATGTTTTATTATGATTCTTTTAATCAAAAAACCTAAAAGGATAAGAATTTTTGTGTCAAGTTTGTTTGAAATAAATGAGTAGTCTAAGCTCCTGAAATATTTTTAAATTACTTCACAGTTTTATAAAACTTATAATATCAAATTAGTTCCAGATCAGGATATGGTATGGTGTACATCTCTACCTCCCCATTTTAATGTGGTGCTAGGCTGAGTAACCGTACCCAGTACCTAGCTGAGTACAACTGCAGCTTTTTCTTATTCCCCTTTTGAGAATGCCAGCAAAATGTGAGCATGGTTCCATCCAAAATGGCCTCCAGCGCTGCAAGAACATCTCTGTTGATGCTCTGAGACATGAAGCTCTGAAAGTGTTCAGCAACTGCACCAGACAAAGCAAAGGCAACAATGAACTTATTTTCCCATGACCTAATTTTGCTTTACTGTGTCACAAAATGAAATATCTAAGAATTGACTATTACCTTAGAAAAAAGAAAAAGGATTCTTAAAATTTCTCTACTGTCGTTTAGCTGCCTTTTTACATGGGAAATTAATCAATATAAAGATTTTTTTTTTTTTTACCTTGGCATCTCTACAAATAATTTGTGGATTAATTATAACATAAAATAATTAATTAAATGTACTTCAGGTCATTAGTTTTCTGTGCAATTTGCATTTTGTAATTAGGTCATTTTTCCCAGAGTTAGCAAAATTTTTCTCTAAAAACAAATTATCAGAATACTTACACTGACCTTTCTTAAATTTCTTGAAATATTAATATACCATTAAATGATGGTTACATGGTTCTTATATGAGTTCTTTTTGACAGATGTTCATTCAGATAAGATTCTTATTACTGTGCAAGCAAAAGTAATAAATGACTTAATATGCAACCACTATATTGTTTCAGTAGACACATTCAAGTAACTAGTTAGGTTACTATGATATTTTTGGATTTGCTGCACTGATAGTTTGCTTTAGTATTAGAATTAAGCCCCTTTAAAAGTAAATGAAAATACGTTATGCAGCACATTATGGTTTAACCTACACTTGATTCAGATTTTTTATAATGCATTATTTTACAAACTTTTAAATGTGAAATGCAATTTCAATTTGAGGATCAATCTGCATCCAGAAAAGGGAAGGTACTAATTTACATTTTGAGAAGAGCAGAATAAAGTACCAAACCAGCAATAATGCACCAGTCTTGATTTTGGCAAATACCTTCTGGGAAGCATGGCTGCACTTGTCTTCATTACACACTGTGTAAATTTACTGTATGTACAATTCCAATTTCAACTTTAAAACAAAACTTTACAAAATTCCTGCATTAACAACTCACTTAGTGCTAATGGTTAGTTCCTGCACATTGTTAATCATTATCACTATATATTAATTACATACACAAAACTGGTAGACTTTAACTGTTAGAACTTTTATGATAAATTTGCTGTGAGCTTACAGTACCACAGAGCTGATGCCGTGTAGGTTGTGCGCTGATGCATTATAGACACAGAAATTGAGCTGATCGGGCCCAAGAGCTCTTTGACAAGAGAAACTGGAACAGAAGCCAACTTGTCTTCCTTCCTCTCTGTCTTTGTGTTTCGTCTTTGTTGTTTTTATAATACTTGCTGCTATCTTGAAAGGGAATGTCCTCTGTGCTCCTTATTGCTTCTGTTGGTGTTGGGTTTGCCAGCTACCCTTTGTGGATTTCCATAGCTACAAGACGTTTTGCTCATTTTCAGTCCCTCATGCTTGTTTTATTCTGTTTTACAGCCTTTTGTCACTTGCATCCATCCTGGGTGGAACTACACACTTTGTCCCTTTGGTGGTCACAGTGTTCACATACCTAATGCAAAATGCTTGTACATCACGCCTGACTAGGTCATCACAATGTTAACAATATGTTCTTCAGAAGTAGCCGTATTTTAAGTATGTGCATTTGAGGTCTGAAAATCCAGGTATGTTCTAAAAGAAGAGTATGACAATAACATTTTTATATGGTACAGTGAGATTTAAATTTAAATTAATACTGCTTAATATTTCCTTTGTGTTGAATGAGAACTTCTTTAAAGTTTTAAAAGACTTTCCAAGCTGTTTGGTAAATGTTGTATGGAGAAGTTCTCGAACTG